AAAAAAACCGAAATTTTGGAAATCCGTTTTTGTTTCATTTCAGCCTTGTTTGAGGTGATATTGAAAAAATAAGAACACTTTCTCATGGCCACTTTTTGCCCTCTATCGAATGGCATAATCAATTTTTATATGTAACGTTTCGTCTCTCCAGGACCATCACAACTTAATTTTTTTAAATACGACCCTATAAATTTTATTACATTTTTTGCAAGCCTTCATTACCCCCAATACTGTACTACCTTAACTCAAACCAGATTCAGACGTTTTGTCTCGAAAAATTAATCTTCAGTGTATTTGTTCCAAATTTATCTAATTTTTTTATTTAGATTTCTTTGTTGATTGAATTATCGTACACTGTAAGTGTCGTTAGACCCTGTGAAATCCATCTAGTTATTTAAACTATTACCACCACGCATTAAAATAAAACATTATTAGAGTTTTATTCCCGTGTTCTTAGTTATTTCTAGGTTTCTCGACTGCTCAAAATTCAAATAAATTCCGATCTATTTTTTTTAGGATATTCATACAAATACATCTGACATGCTCTTTCACAGTTGCAGTTACAGATATAATAAATTCCGGTAATATTACGCTGATCTTCATTTTCAACCTTTGCCAAAATGAAAATGTCTGATCATTTACTGAAATTTTGTAAAGAATAATATTCATTTGCATTTTTGTTGTTCATATGCATTTTTAAGAATTAGTTTGTCATAATAGAATTAAAATTGTAATGTTTTAATTTTGACGCAACAACTTATCGAGTTGATTAAGCAACTTTGCCCCCATTTAAGCTACTTCGTACCTCTTACCGTTTCCGAGATCCCTGTAGTGAGAAGCGAATTTGTAACAGCCTGTATAGGCAATCTCTGATATGTACTAATAATAATATTTCAGATAACGGTCGTCGGTCGATACGGTATGTCAACGAGCAGGTGCAGAATTCCCCTTGGTTACTTTTACGGCCACATAGTCGTTTTACCCGAAGAGATACCCCAGGAGTTGGCGTCGAATGTGGCACAGTTGTCTTGTACGGACCTAGAAAAACAGTTGAATATTTTATCCAAACTATTTGAGGATATTAGTTGTAGATACAGTCTTGCGTGTTCTAAACTCAAGGAATTGTTGCATCCGTTTCTAATCGCCGACATGAAAAATGCCTTGCATTTATCCACATACATGAATATATCCAAAGACAGGATGATGAATATCACGAACGTGGAGCACAACAAAATATTTAACGCCTATCAGGTAATTACGAATACACATTTGTTTATCGTCCTGTAACGTTGTATATATATTTTTTTTTAGGAAACTATCACTTACCAGCACCAGCTCAACACCATCAGGAACGTCATGGCACGAATCGAAGGAAGTATCTCCGGAAGTACAATAAATCAAAATCCCAGTGAGGTGCAAACCACGTCAACCGATAAATTTACCTCCATAGCGGAAGGCCTCCTAGAGGTCCTCCTGTCCATGGAAACTAACACCGAGCTCGAAACCCACCTGTGCCAGCAGTTGTTCCAAGGGCTCTGCGTCTCGCAATCCTCGAGACTGCAGCTCTTGGCGGCCATATTCCTAGAAAAGTCCTGCGGTCGCGTACCCTTCTGGGGGAACTTCCTATCGGACACGCTATCGGAGATGTTTTCTACCTCTTGCACTTTGAAATTCCCGCAAGACCGGTTGTTTATCCTCCTGGCTTACCTGAGCCGAAAAACCTCGGAGAAGAGCGCCGTGATAGATGCGGCACTAAGAGTGGTGTCGAACACCTTGAAGCCGCTGTTTCACAACAGGAAATCGCTACTGGCAGTTACCATCGATCTGCCGTTGCTTTCGTGGCTGTTGATGTACCTCTCTCTGCAGTTGTCGTTGAGCAGGAGCCCTACGAATTCGGCGGACAGGTGGAACTGGGTGTTGGGCGAGATGGTGGGCAACGTTAAAGTGGATAGTATGAGGAACAGCAACAGGAAGAAGTCGTGCAAGAGGATGGCGCATCCTTGCACCAATTCCAACTATATTTCTCCCGTAAGTACAGATGACTATTTGAACTACACACTTTAATGACTTCTTATAAAAAAAAATTAAGGGACAAAAAATTATCATAAAAGTAGTGGTACTTTTTTAATATTTTTCAAGTCATGGGTGTCATTTTTAATGGAATCATATAATGGGTAGCTTTAGAAACGCATATATTTTTTTTTTTTTAATTTTCATATCCCACTGGTGGAAAGACTAGTGTAACCTCGAAAAACCGAATGCACTAGTCACAAACGCGTACCGAGTTAGGAGCTATATCATGCATTATTGCCAAATCTCATCTTTCTTCATTCATATACAGGGTTTTTCAAAATACGTCAGAATTTTAACAATGAAGATACGCAAACACACCATAAGTACTGAAATAAATAAGTTATTTTGAAGTCCAAAACTTCTATTTTCATAAAACCTTGTTTTTTTTTTAGAGTTACTCTAGTATAGTTATGAACTCACAGCAAGCGTACCAAGCACAATCCAAATTATTAGCAGCCTGGCAAAGTCCCGTCCCTTCGATGAAAACCGAGAAGTTGACTAAATTAAAATATTTCAAAAAGAATTACGAAGTCAATAAACCCAAAGAAAACAAGGAACCATACACCGAAAGGCCAGTCGTAACGCCCAAACTGCCCCAGTTCATCGATACTTCTCACTGTCTGGCTGTCGCAAAAGGGTTATTGAAACTGATTCTATCTATGGATCATTCGGGTAGCTCTGATATGATGTTGCTATCCTTCAAAGTAAGTTTTACTTTTGTTTTGACTGAAATGTTTATATTTTTATAAATTTGTGTTTTTTCCAAGGTCATATCGAGGCTGGTTACTCTTGCTAAGCTTCAATTGGGCCAGCTGCTGAACGAAAGACAACTGTTGGATCTGATTAACTTTTGTATGACATGCAAAATACCTTGGGCACCCTTTGCTTTGGCTTGCTTCCTACAAGACGCAATGGAACTGTCCTCTGCGAAAACTAATGATGTCGAAATGGAAACCGATGCTTCTGCTTCAACCAGTTGGCCACAAAATGGTAAGTGAATATCGTTTTCATTGATTATTTTTTACTTTAAGTTGTTCACTTAATTGTTTTCTGTACATGGTAGGCCAGTTTTGACACTTTTGGGTGATTTCTTGAATTTCCAGAGGTGGTAGACAAAAAGTAGTTCAAATGTACCACATTCGATTTTTAAGAGAAACGCAACCCTGAGATTTTTTCTTATATTAAATGACTTTTTTTGTATATTGACCTTTGTAAAGTTGACCTTTATTCAGTTTTTTCCATAAAATTTAGTGGCATACACTAATGCAAGCAATTAAAGTCAAAATAATTTCCAAAATTTTTCCGTGATTTTTGACAGACTGTATTAGGCGAAAAATGGTCGTATCGGGAATTAAAAAAAATCATTTTGAAGCTCTAAGATTCTAGTTTTTAGATTTTTCGGTTGATAATTTTTAGGAGCTACGGTTATCATGCAATTCTAAGAAATAGCACGACAAATAAATTTTGCAAATTTTTTTATTTATTTCCGAGTTCACGGACTTGGAAAAAAATTTTTCAGCTAAGCCATTGCATGGGCCAGATAGCTTGTTTATTCAGCTTTAATTTCCTTTTTTTTTAAATTTCGATACGACCATTATTCATAGAAATATCAGACTTTTAATGGAAAAGGATCCTTTTGTCTTTAATCATCGATATCTCGGCGACAAATGGTCATACAGAGAATTGAAGAGCAGTTTCAAAAACTGTAATAAATTTCCTATAACATGCTGCTGCAACTTTTCAGAATTTTTTTCTTTTTTTTTCATCTTTTACACAAATTTAAAAAACAGGAAAAAAAGGCAATTTATGGTTTTTTAGAAAATTGATGGCTAAATTAGAAATATTCACGAAATGACTAATGTTAAGCATGACTTTTACAGTTCCATATACCCAGAAGAAACCTGTAAAGTTTCATCTTGATTTAGCGATTTGTTTCAAACTTTTGAAAAAAATTAAAGGGTCACGATTTTTGAGCTTAAACACTTCATAATCATGATTAAAATGGAAAAAAAAAATTTTTTGATCTCACACTTTTACCGCAAACATTTAAATTGATGAAAAAAAAATCTTTTTTCGAAAAATTTTCAAAATTTTTTTTCAGAAGAAAAAGTGTAGTTTTGAAAAAACTGTTTTTTACAGACTGCACAAAAATTAATTACAAATTTGTCTCAAAAAATGGTCGGGATCGAAATCTGGTTTGGGTCATCAACTTTAATTTTAATTTAATTAAAAGCTGATGAACAGAAGCATAGGACGAAAAAGCCGAATCGTGCTGGAAACAATTGAATTTTGTTTTCTTCAATGTCCCGAAGGTTTTTCAAACAAAAAAAAAATTCGAAAATTTTTTTAAAATATTTAGAAAAATAATATATATTTTTTTTTCATCAATTTAAGTTATTTGCGGTAAAATTGTGACAAAACCTCAAAAAAAATTTAGTTTTTCATTTTAATAATGATTATGAACTGTTTATGCTCAAAAAATGTGACCCTTTAATTTTTTTCAGAAGTTTGACTGTTTGAAACAAAGAAACGGTTCGCTAGATCGAGATGAAACTTCACAGGCTTCTTCTGGGTATATCGAACTGTAAAAGTCATGCTTAACATTAGTCATTTCGTGAATATTTCTAATTTAGCCGTCAATTTTCTAAAAAAAGTTAATTAAAAAGTCCGATATTTTAATGAATAATGGTCGTATTGAAATTTTAAAAAAATGAAATTAAAGCTGAACAAACAAGCTATCTGGTCGGTGCAATGGCTTAACTGAAAAAAATTTTTCCAAGTCCGTGAACTCGGAAAAAAATAAAAAAATTTGCAAAATTATTTTGTCACGCTATTTCTTAGAATTGCATAATAACCGTAGCTTATAAAAAATTTTCGACTGAAAAATTTAAAAATGCTTTTTTTTAATTCTTGATACAACCATTTTTCACTTAAATACAGTGTCCAAAATCACGGAAAAATTTTGGAAATTCTTTTTTTTAGTTCTAGTCTACCAAACTCATATTTTTTTGTAATGGAACACCTTATATACTTTCCAATATTTGGAATCTGTGCAATTTCTTTTTAAGCGATTATTTGCACAAAATAATAAACACCAAATATATTTTTTTAAATTCAACTTTTTTTATTCAACATTGGTAAGATGTGCCCACAACGCACTTATTTTTTTTTTCTGTTTATGAGATATAAGAACTAATAGTACAATATATATATATTTAATAAAAAAATTTAGTAGAAAGGGCGAATATTAGTTAGGTAAAAAAACAATTCACAATCTAGTCATATACAACACTGTAATTTTTTTTCTAAAAGTATTGTGTTTTTTATATGTAATTTTGTTGTATTTATTCTATTTATTAATTTAAATTGCAAGTAAATTCTTTCTATACTCGCTATTTTTACGTGTTGTGGATTTAGATATCTTTTGAATGCCTAGGTTTTTGGTATCGAAGAACATTATTTGACTTCATTTGATAAGATTTGTTAGAAAAAATTTTTGAACTTGTTTGATTTAGCTTATATACCTTTACAATAGGGTAAAAGTAATTTAGAATGTTTTCCAAAACTAGGTACACAATATCCTTGTATCTCCTAAGAAACCCCCTCAAAATCTTCAAAATTAGTCCACCATATACATTATTTCATTTCGTTATATTTGATCTGACAAATTTTTTAAAACGGATTTTTTTTTCTCGCTTTTTTCAGAGATGCCTACTACCGAGGTCGACAGTATTTGTGAAAACTTTATCATAGACGATGCCATCCTCGTAGAAACTATGACCAAAGCACCGAAAACAAACTCTTCAATTAATAATAACTTCCCTCCATTACCTTCTGTTTACGAATCGGAAGATTCCGACTTTGAGGAGTTGTTGGAAGATTTAGAAAAAGTACGAAACACCCCATCGAAGCTAGCCAAAACGACGATCGGTTCTAATTCCAGCATATCGTCAGCCGTGGATTCCCGTTTAGAGCTGGGAGTGCAATCGAACTCGGAAATGGCTCTGAAAAAGCTAATAATCAAGAACACCCAAACGCTCCTCCACAATATAACCTCGGAGACAAGCCAGAAAGAAAGCGATAACGGGCTGACACCCTGGCCTACCCCCGTCGAGGTGTTTCCCCCGGAATCGTCGTTATGCAACCACAAGATGTTAACGTTCTGCTTCGAGTACCTCTTCGACAACCTGGAGAATCAAACCCCTTCGAAAATAGAAAACATACTGCAGCTGTGGTTGACGCTCAACTGCCCCAACAAGAACGAGAGGTTCGACCCCAGCACGATACCGCTGATAACTCTGAAAGGCGATTCGGTGAACCACCTGATCACCACGATGGCGTGGACCCCTGGCTTATCGCTAACTACCTGGTGCATCGCACTACAAATCCTGACGTTGGTTTGCAACATAAACAGCGCTAAGAAGTGGTTTGATTTGTCGGGAATGGCGAATACCATCATTAATCACCTGGATTTCGTTCAGCTCTTCCTTAGCCTCCTATCGGGAAGTGGCTCCGCTTTCACCGGGAAAGTGTTGGTGAGTACCAAAAAATCTAGTTTTATCGATTAACGATTAGACCAGGGCGGATCTGTTTTGAGGTGGATGTGAGAGGAGGCAAACAAATTTTTTCTGGATTACTTTTAATACAACACATAATAAAAGTGTAGATCCCTAGATGTTAAAATGTTTAAATTTATTACCGATGTTGCAAAATAGCAATAATTGAAGAAAAAAAGGTAAAATCAAGTTTTTTGGATATTTTTTTTTAAATATTTTTATTTTAATTGCTCCGAGGGCATTCTAATTTTGGTTAAAAATAAAACAACACACCAAATTTCATTAAAATTATTTCGATAATTTTTGCAAAACAATTTTTTGAAAAAAATTTTGAAAAAAATTATTTGAATTTTCAAATGCAAATAAAGCAAATTTTGCACCTCCAAATTCAGTCTCGGAGCAGAAACCCTCTCCCTCATTTTTCGTGATTTGAGTCACTTCGCGCCTGCGAGAGACAGCTTTTTTGCTGATTCTATGTTGCCGATAACTTATAGATATGAAAATTTTTTCCAGCTTAGAACTCGGAAAAACGAAGCCACTGGATCAAAGATTATTGCTAAATTGTTTATAAATTAACGGTAAATGCCGATAAACTTTGACCGTTTATATCTCGAGAACCAATAAACGGAATTTAACTTCTTTTTTTTAAAAAAGAAGCGTCTTTCCGAGTACTTTAAAATTACAATTTTTGAAAAAACTAAATTGCAAATTGATAAATGTAATCTAATTTTTTTAAAATAAAAAAAAAGGGAACTGAAAATTAATTGTGGCCGTCCTAATCAACCGATTTCAATTTTCAAAAACCATTTGAAAGGTTGGGCGGTCTTTTCTATATAAAAAAATTTTCAAGTATCTAGATGCTTTATTTGAGGCTGTGCAACATTTTGAAAATTCGAAAAAAAATTTCAAACTTTTTTTCAAAAAATTATATTGTGAAAACTATCGAACCGATTTGAATGAAATTTGGTGTGTTGTTTTATTATACTCTAAATTTTTTTTACCAAAATTAGAATGCCCTCTGAGCAATTAAAATATTTTAAAATAATTTTCCAAAAAACTTAATTATTTTACCTTTTTTTCATCAATTATTGCTATTTACCAACATCGGTAATAAATTTAAACATTTTTAACTTGCAGTATATTGCGCAAAATTCAATTCTAAAACTTTTTTCCTCTTCAATCTTCTTCCAAAATGCATAAGTTCCAAGATATAAGTAAAAAATAGGTATTTTTAAAAATATTTAAACATTTTTGCAATTTTAAAAATGTTTCGGACCTCGCCTAGATCTAGGGATCTACACTTTTATTATGTCAGTTTTACTGAAGATATTCCAGCAAAAATTAGCTTGCCCCCTCTTACATCCAAGAAATGGGATATTTCGACAGATCCGCCCTGGTTTAGATAGGGTTCATGTTTTTATTTCATTTTAGTGAGATAGTCGGCAGCCAAGTATTTTTTTCACAATTTTTTTACGTGACCAAGGATGTGCAATCCATATTTTATTAGACATCGGCAAACATACACACATTTGTTCGACGTATACCTCGCCACATGCATTTTTCTTAATTACCTATGTAATTATGGTACATTTGAACTAATTATCCTAAAATTCCTTATCAATCGTTTCAGTTCTCTTTGTCAGTCATTTATCGCATCTAACATTTAATTGAACTTGCCAAACACAAATCTAGAAATAATCGAAGTTTCTGAAATGGACAAGAGTGACAAGAAGTAAACAAAAAATCTTAGCACTATTGCTAGTATTCCTCAATTGTCTTGACAAATAATAAGTAAAATATGTTTTATCCTAATAAATATTTTGTTATTTTTTTATCTTTTGCGGTAAATTCTCCATAATGTCAAATTAAAATGCAAAGATGGCTACTCCAGAGGAGTCATTTGCTAACAATGATATTCTAACCTCAAATTCGTTTTGTAACAATAGAAACAGAATTGGAAATTTTTTTCTCTATTCATCGATAACGTTAAACAGAAAATATCATCCTTTCTGTTATTTTAGGCTGGCCCGTCCCTATGTAAATCCCTACACGATTTCCTAGTTCGCATACAGATGAGATGCGACATCGTCAGCCCCTCCAGCAAATTGGGCAACCAGTTGAAAACGCTCCTGCTAAAAATTATATACCAATTGGCTCAACCGTCGGGCCCCATCTCATCCAGATTGGGACCGTTGGATGCTCAATGTAAATTGTTACAGTCGATGTTATACCTGGACTTTTCTAATACCGACCTTAGCATAGCGATGAGCACCCTTGAAAGCACAGGTAGGACCATTTTATATCGTTATTTATCGGTTTATGTTACATCTAATATTATTTCCAGCTGCTTTGGTGCACAGTTATATGTTGAACGTCGATAAAATTAAGTGTGTAAATATCGGAGAGAAGCAAAACGTGATGACGAGTACTTTTAGCGACATTTTCGCCAGTGTTTTGGGGTCGGATTCCAACAAGCAAGACAGGCCTGTGTCATACGAAGATTTGTTGATTATAATGTTGAAATTGTTAGGCAAATTAGTGCAAACCCCGATTCCTGTCTTAATCGACGATTCTGTAAGTATCTCCCGACTTTAATTTAGACATTTATCAAAGCGACATAATTTATTATTTGATTTTTAGGAGGTAATGGAAACCGAATCACCGGTAACGTCCCAAACGGACGAAAGCAAAGCGGAACAGATCCAACAGGACAGCAACAGACCGCCCCAGCCGATGCCGTGCTTCGCTGATATCGTCCTGCAGAATCACCTTACGGTCACCCGTTTATGTCGCTGTTTGGCGGCATGTAAGTCTTCTTCACTTTGTATGCTAGCTAATGTTTCACAAAAGGTAAAATTTCGGCGAATAATGGACCCTAACGATAACCCCGCGTTTTCCTTCTGTTGTAGGTGGCGTTCTCTAACCTGAGCGAGCCGAATACCGTCGGTGACGCAGTATTCCACTTACTCGCTTTGTTGGCGAAGAAGGCTTCCAGGAAAGAGCTGCTGATGCACCCGCTGCTGATGTTCCTCTCCCAGACGCCGCAGCTGAGCGAACCGCTTTTGTGGTTTATCCTGCAAGTCCTCGACACTGAGGATGCCATCAGGTGCTTCTTTAATGCCGGTAAGTTTTTAGTTGTTTTAGATTGTGTTCTATTAAAAACTTGAATTGATTGGTATTTATTTTTTATTCTGTATAATTTATAAAAAAATTATTAATAAATCATGCAAAACAATATTATTTTTTTAAATATTTGGCACTTTGGTCGCATTGACATCAATGCCCAGTGACGGCGTAGACAACAGCTTAAGTGGAGTTTAGAAAACAAATTGTAACGACTATTTAAATGATTTTAAAAAATGAATTTCAGGTGGAATTACTATTTTTGCCAAAAGCATCGTGAAGAGCAGTTCCTCTCCTAGCACCCTGTCGAGGGTGGGTACAATTTCAACGGTGATGCAGCACTTCAGCGGAGTCAACACCTCTTCTGACGCAAACACGGTCATATCATCCGCTTCGACTGCAAAGAAAATGTTGCAAGCGTCTATAGAGAATAAAATGTCCCTCATAAATTTCGCCCCGTTCAGCACCATCTCGTGTCAGTCCGGTACCGCTCAAGCTGCGGACGTCCTGATACAAGGTCTGGCGGGGGTGACACACAGAAGGGCTAGGACGCCCCTGTGGTCCTATCATTTCTACCCGGAGGAGGTTCACACGGAGCTGATGTTGCAGCTGCCGAGCGCGATATTGCTGAGGGAAGTGCAGTTACAGCCGCACGCCGGGGGTTTGGCTACGTGTCCTTCTTTCGTGGCTTTAGAAGTGAGTAGAATATATTTTTTTTGTATGTAATATCTCTTAGAAATACATATCCAGAAAGTTGCTTCAAATCAGAAAAATCCATAAGAAATAAGTGGTTCGGTAATTTATTTTGATCATTAGGACGCAATGACTTGAATGTAAAAAATATAAGTATTTAGGTATAATTTAATTAAAAACGCATTATTTTATTGTATAAAATATGATTTTGTTGAATGCTTAAATTACGAGCCAGGTTATTTTGCAAATTTTTAGCACCAAACCGCTTATTTCTTATAGATTTTGATTTTTCTGATTTGAAGCAACTTTCTGTGAACCACACAAATCTAAGACGGAAAAGTAAACGTGGTTTTATTTTAAAACCAGCAGGGTAAATCTCAGGGTAATTTTTGAAAATTTTCCTTATTCTATATTCAAACGCCATTATCTCGAAAACGGTTAAAGATAGGTATAGGTTATGTTACATAAAAAAATGATCAGAATTCCATGGAGAATTGAATAAAAATTGAAAAAAGTGGGGTTTTCATTTAAAAAAGCTGGCCTTAATTTCATGACTTTTTTTTTAGCCACCCTGTATAAATGAAAATTGCTTCAGAAAATGCGCAACTAAAAATATAATTCGAGGGGTCCGAGTGTTTTTTCAAATAACGAACATCTGATTTTTAAATAAATATATTCCATACTTTTGCCGCTCACTGTATATCCATTATTTTTTGTAAAAAATGAGTTACCTTCAAATGTCTCAAGGTCATCCTAGAAAAATTGCTTGATCCCAATTTCTGACATTAAATTTGATGCAAGATCGTTTGCTCGCATAAAAAATAGTGTATTCCATTTGATATTAAAGTGTCCCAAGTTTGACCTTGCATCTTGTGATGAAGGTCAAATCCAAAATCAGCATATAATTTGTCGTTCAAATCCCACAAATTTTGTTTGAAACATCCACAATTCGTTGTCAAATTGTTCAGAGATTTCCAAATAATCTGCAGATAAAAAAAAATTCTTTATATTTGGTCCTAAAATGTGGTGCTCTATTAATTACTGACATCAAAATTTGGTGTTCTATGTAATATTTTTAATATGACCTTGGTTTGACCTTGAAATGTCAAGGTCAAATCTAAGATCACCAGCATTATGGCAATTTTGAGAAGTTATCAGGGTTTGGGTCTCGTTGGGACATACCGTATATAAAATTTCATTTGAATTATAATTGAATCGATGACTTCGAAAATCGTACATATCCAAAAACTTCATTTTGAGATCTACGGACATATACGGTTCTCCCTCTCATTGGTCAGTAACGACCTACTAAATACCGTTAAGAGTTAGGTATCTTGTATGGTGAGGGAGCATATTTTATCCAACTTGTACGGTTTTCGAACTTACCGATTCAATTCCACTTCGGTCGTTTACAATTCAAAATGACTAAAGATTCAGGCTTTCTATTGTAGGTGATTAGATCCAGTACATTCAGGAATACACAGAACATTTTTTACCCTCAGTCTATAATTATATTCTGCAGGTTTCAGCGAATGGCCCATCGAGATTGGTTCCAGCATGTCTTCCGCTACCAACAAGCGGTCTGACTTACATTCGCCTCCATCTGCCTGTACCGAAAGTAGTGAACTGTGTCCTGATTCGCCTCTACAAACCGAGGGACGCGAACAGCATCGGTTTGCTTCAAGTACGGCTCCTCGGGAGCTACGCTTTCGGAAATCTCAACCAAAGCTCCGACTCCGAAGACGAGTCACATTGCAAGCACAGTCTCGGTTGGCTCAGATTACTCCACCATTGCATTACATTGCCCACGGACGTAGAAACTAGGGAACAAGTCGTAGGGTGTGCTTCGCAAGTGTCTGAATTACTCAGCACTTGTTGTGGGTTGTTGTTAGTACCGTCGCATATCTTGCCCATTTACTTGCCCTGTTTGGAGAAAGTTTTGAAGGAATTGGCGCTTTATAGTCCCGAGAATGGCGTGCACGCTATGAAAACGTTGTTAGAGAATCGGTCGGGGGTTATTGAGCCCATGATGGCAGCGGATAGTTCATGGCAAGACAGATTGTTCATTAACGTGACGGGATATCAGTCCGCTTGTGAGTTGCTGTATCAAATTTGCGAGCACCAGGTAACATTTTCCAATATTTATACATATCTGTTCTTCTACAGTGAATGTTTTTCATTCTAGGACACAAACACGTCTTACCGAGTAAAAATAATTCTGGACTGGCTGGAGGCGGTGGCGAAAGAAGCTGCGATTTCTGAAAATTACGACAACTGCAACGCCGCGTACATCTCCAGTATAGCCTCAATCCTGTGGTCTGCGAAACAGTCCGAAGTTCATTACGATTTGAAAGCTTTAGTTACGTTAGAATTGTTTAACGCTATTTACGATTTGCAGACACAGACCGAAAAGAACGTAAGCCTTAAATATGCTCTGGACTCCTTGCTTTGCTGCATCTGTTTTATAAAATCGGAATATTTCTCGCTCCTGTTGCAAAAAATAGGAGTGCTAGTCCCCAATTTATCCACCGATCACGGCGCTTCCATTAGCGACGACAGAAAAGATTCAGAAAGCATGACGGATGACTACAAACGGGTTTTCGAGGTGAATTCCGAATGGTATGGCCGCCTCGTTATCGGAGAATTGTCCAACTTAAATTTAACGAAAGAGCAACTTGAAACGATAGCCCTGGTCAGCAGATCCCCCACTTCCATCCAACAGTTACTGGACTCGGGTCTACCCAAGTTGCTGAACAGCGCGATTTTCCAATTCTGTCACTCGAAAGAGGAAGCTGCCATCCCCATGGCTAAATTAGAGAACATCGCTGCCATCCTACAGTTCTTCACTGACGTCAGCGACGAGAAAACCATGAGAGACTGGCTGGGTTCCATGGATGGGTCCTCGTTTTGGTTGCATTTACTCCACTGGTTATGTAAAAAGCCCTGCAGCAGGACGTCTAACCTACAACCCGAGGCGCACATACACCTGGAGGAAGTGTGCGTTAAGTTCCTGTCTAAATGTTGTTTGTGCCACCCGACCAATCAAACGAGACTCGCCAAGGTCCTGTGCGAGGTGATATCCTTGCAAACGAACGGTATATCGGGCTTCATGCGCAGACTAATCCTGCAGTTGCTTTTAGAAAACGAAAAGATTCCCGTCAGCATAGAGGCCGACGAAACGTTGTACAAGAACGCAAAGTCGGTGCAGACGTACATACCCATACATCCCGCCTTCAAACAGACCTACAACCGAGCGATGTTATACCTGAGTACAAACACATCACTTGTAGAAATATTAGAGCAACACGTCTACTTCAATTCGTCGTACAAAATGGAGTCGAGCATGAGCAAAAAAACCTCCGCCACAAAGAAGGACATCTTCAAGAAGTGGTTCGCCGAGGATTCGGATCTGAGCATGGCCGCCGGGGTCACTGCCAAAGATAAACGTGCCAAAGACGTGAAGAACCAAATAACGGCCACCCCGCAGTCCAAGAAGAAGAGGTACACCTCGGAATCCAACGTCGGGACAGACATCATGGAGGGCAGGTTAATAAAGTGCGAGGCGTTCTCCGACCAACCACTGCCATTAACGGTAACTCTTGGGCAACTGTTAAGACTGATAGAGTCTAGAGGGACTACGACCGATTGGCCTTATATACATCTAAAAATATGCCAGAGCAAAAGTAAGTGTTTAAAAAATAAATCGATTACATCTTAAAAATATGTGTCGTAGACCCGGAGGAGAAGTCTGGCAATGCCGAAGTAACATTTCCGTATTATCAGCAACCAATTTGCAGTGCCTTACAAGTCTTTAGCTCAATGGGTGGTTTGGCTTTACTCGCTCAACATTTGCCGACCGTCTATCCTGAGACCATCAGACCTACGACATCTGAGAAAGCGACCACTGAGCAGAGCGACTCGGATTGGATAAAAGTTGAAGGTAAGCGTATATACGATGCTGACAATGTGATTATTTGGACTCGCGTAATTATTACCTCCGAATTCTTGACACACGCACCGATTTTCATGAAAATTGGTGAGTATGCTCGTTTCGCCCTCCTTTACAAAAGTTACATATCCATAATGTGTGCTTAGTGTTTTTGGGGGGGGGGAAACTACCCCCTTCTTGCAAAAAACTTAAAAATCATAGATTTAAGTGTTATGTCAATAAAATAAGCATTCTTTTATGTTTTGAATAATAATTTTTGATTTGTAGCAACATTTCAACCCTTAAAATCCACCCTTTATGAGGAAAAAAAAAACAAAAATTAGTTTTCGCGGCTCTGAAATGTTTTGACGGAGCAATAATGAAGAATTGAATATTTTTTACTGTTTATGAAATAATACATGATTTATTGCAACGTTTCAACCCTTAAAAAC